CCAAATCACCCTACTGAAGCTTAAAGATCAAAAAATATCATCTACTTCTTTAACCACCTACACGTCAGTGCACACAATAGAAAACAACACTCTGAGATCCTCAGTTTAAATCAGTTCTGGTATTCTGTAACTGTTAAAATTTTTCTCCCAAGAGACATTTAATTTCTATTGTCAAAATTCATTCATAAAGGATATTCTGACTTTTTCTAAGCACAATAAAAGATTTATGAGAGCAATTACTCATGCTATAGTGTCCCACTACTTAATTTACAGACAACCTTGCTTCAGAGAATTCCTCTGGGCTCTTCCACACACAGGTTATCTTGCCCCTGGTAGATGAGGTCATTTTGTGTTATCAGCGTTTTTCGTCCACTCATTAATTAATTAATTCACTCATTAATTAACCTCAACAGAGAATAAGAAGAAATCTGAAAATTCAGAGTAAATCTTATGAGCTGGGGGATGTGAAATACAGTATCCTCGGTGGGAAATATTCATTAGCACTGCAGGCGTTACCCGATTTCATGTGCCATCAGCATCTGCTATAAATGGGTTGGAAATTCATGTGCTTCCCTGTCAGTCTGGATGTGAAGGCTTCAAAAAGTAGCCCTGAACTACTCATATGCCAGAGTTTCCCCAAGTTAACCTAAAAATCCCATCCACCAAAAACTCAAATTTTCAACCCATACCACAAAGGTGTTATCTGAGAACGTCAGTCTGGGGATGAGGGATGAAGACTCACAATACCTGCTGGCGTCAGTCCTTCTCAGGCTCAGAATTTGACAAAAGAAGGAAAATGTGAACTTTCTTCTTCCCAAGAAGCTTGCATTCCTCACCATTTCCCGCACGTCAACCCGTCTTACAAAACACACACTCACCTAGGGCAATGGTTTTCACCTGGTCTGATCTTTAGAATCACCTGCGGACCTCCTTTTGCAACGTACTCAGGGCCAGACCAATTCAACAAGCATCTGTGTGTAGGGCCCAATCACTGGTGATCATGCAAAGCTACCACGGTGATTTTAATCTGCAGTCAGGTTGGAAAACACTGCTCTCTCTGAAGCAGTGGTTTTGAATCAGGGGCAATTTCACCCATTCCCTACCCCCTGGGACCATTTGGCAATGTCTGAAGACATCTTTCATTGTCACAACTGGGGGTTGCTCGTGGGGAGAGCCCAGTATGCTGCTAAACCTCTTAAAATGCATACATCAACCCATTACAACAAAGAATTATCTGGTCTCAATGTGAGTGGTGCCACTGTTGAGAATCCCTGCTCTAGAGAAAGAACTGGGGGGAGACACAACCTGCTTTGTCTCTGGAGATCCCCTGACAAAAGAAGGAAGGAAGGACTAAGAAGCTTTCAGGAGGGAGCTGAACACTCACAACCCTGACACTCCATCCACAAAGCCAAATGTAATTCTACATGGACCCAAGTGTGACACAAATGAAGATTTTCCTCATGGGTGCTCTCACTGGCTAGCGTGATGATGAAGGAGAGCGTGAAGCTACTGGTCACTGGAACATGTTCTAAGTCCATAAAGGAAACGAGACCCACCAGGATAGCTAAGCAATTTTTCTTAGAAGGACGATAAACAACAGAGTAATGTTTCTTCTCATCATTCCTTCTCAGTTGCTGATAATCAGCAATATACGCCCCTAGAATTAAAATAAAACTACTTTCGTGACTTTTTCAACTAGATTCATAATGCCCAATGGGTGAACCACTCATATGGGCTCCTGATCATCAGAATCATCTTTGCCTGGAAGGTCAACAACAAACAGCTATTGCTCGAAAGACCTGAGTCCACAACGCCCGTGACCTGGGCTAAAAAGCTACCTGTTAAAAAGCACAGATCTGCCATCTGATATCTGGAAGCAAAACGCCTTGGTTTCATTGTGGGAGGGAACACTTTCACCTACGAAAGTTTGACCCAATCTTGGATTTCAATGGGATCAGGGAAGCGAATCCCCCATTCTCCAGGAGGCTATCTATTTGGGTACATGTCTAGATAAAAGTGGCTAATCAACTACTTAATTTACAAATCTGGTACACAGCAAGCGACTCGAATGAACAGACAAACGCCTCAATGTCTAGATGTAACCATGTTAAATCTACTTCCTCTTTGCACATGGTATTCTCTGCAAATTGAAAAACAGTTGAATCATAACTCCTAAAAAAGCAAATGCACTTGTGAACATATTACTCAACTTGGAGGGTTTTTTTCTGTTTTGTCTTGGCTTTTGTTGTTTTTCAATCAGCTACTAATTTAAACACGGCTATATAGTCTTAACTATTTTAAAGAAAGGAAAAATACCCCAAATTCACCCTTATATCCAATTGGAAATTAAGCTGTTTTAACCAAAGAAAACTCTTGGATACCCAGTTCATCAGCTGCTTCCTCCACTGAGTTTGTAACAAGATTTAAAGATGTCCAAGGCACAGTCAACTAAAACAGTAATTGTTTTCACTGATGTTCCTTCAGTGCGTATATGTGTGTCTTTTTGGAGGGAACATTACAAGTAAGACCATATTGTGCCAATACGTGTTTCTTTTCGGTTTCATTCTGCCACAATGCAGACACACTTCCACTTGCTTTCATCTACTTTTTCTTCACTTAAAACCCTGCAAGTGCTCATCCAAATCACTCATTATTTCACACAAACTCCAAACAGAATGACTCTGTACATGACTCAGCAAATCTGCAATTTGGGATTTATCTTGCTACCAGTTCCTACTTGTTTCTAGGCCAATGATTCAACCGGAGTGTGGGGGGATTAAAAATATGAAAAGTCATGTCTTACCATCCATATCAAAAATTAATTTGCAACGGCAGGATACATACAGGCCCAAATTTATAGGCGGACGATCCATAAACACCTCATTGTGCCACTTCATTTTCCAATCAATTATTGAAATAAAAATGCAATGCAAATGCACTACAAATATACTTTGGTGAGGATATCAACTTCCAGAAGATTGGTCACTTAAGAATGAGAAGACCTGATGTAAACGTAAGAATTGAATACAGTGTCGTTCTAAATAATGCGACTATGTTATACCAAACTCTTAATTAAATAAAATGGTTCAATTTTAAAAAATCATTTGCTGGATCATGAAATCTATCTGAATCCAGGCAATAATAAGTCATGATGTAATGCCATCCTCATCTAGAAACATACCTTACTTTATGCAAGGTATTGCTTCAAAATTGCATTTGAAATCTTTTCTTGTGAGTTAAACCATGCCTTGATTAAACTAGAGGAGTTCTTTATTTAAAAGAGCACTTTGGGAAAGAAAGAAAAATTGTTTTGTATGTACACTACCTGGCCCCTAAGTAATTTTTTTTTTTGGTTCCAGATACAAGTTTTCCCTAAAATAGTGCACATATTTACTTCTCATACTCATTAAAAAATAATTGAGAAATGGAAAAGTCATTAACTTGAACTTTCCCGTTAACCCATTACTCCCTGAAGACAAGCTTCATGGCTAGCGGCTCACCTCATCCATGGTAACACAAATAAAATCTCTTTTTAAATGCCTTTCAGCTCTTGTGAGAAGTGCACAGCCAAGGCTGCCCACAGCAAACAGGGCAGCTTCTGGGCCAGTCCTGGAAAGAGGGGGTGAAGGCGCAATTAACTGAGTCAAGGCCCCAGCCAGCCAGCCAGGAGGCCTCAGCCCACGGGTGACTTGGCTTCTCCCACCTTCCACTTCCCAGCCCAACCCAGAAAGGAGCAGCATCTTCCCCATCCTCCCCAAGTCCATCTGCACATAAACGAGCACTGGATGCATTAGAAGCCAAGCTTCAGGAGTCCATTCTCAGTACTAAGAGAAAAGGACTGGGATGAAATAGGATCCAATAGGTAAATCCCCAGGTACCATATTGAAAATGTACCCCTTCATGTCACTCACTGCTCACATAGGCCGCCTCCACCACTGCTCAGAGCTTAACTGCACACAGACTCTGTAGCAGCTTTCAAACAAAGCAGAAAACCTCAGGTACATTGGATGGAAAACCCCACAGTTTATAAAACCAAACATGTTAGTTCTAACTCAACTGTAAGTAACATGAAGGGATTGGGAGGGCGTTTTGTTTAAGAAATGATTTTTTTCCCCCTCTCTGGAGTTCAAAGTGGTTTTAGGACCAAGATGCAAGAAATTCAACCCCTTCCGAAAGGTTTAGGGTCCCGTTTAGAGCGATCTCAGCAAATGCCGTGGATATGACCCTTCAGAAACCAAAGGAGAGTCCAAAAACATCTGTACATTTTCAAGAGGCACATTTAAACAACCAGGGAGGCTGTCTCACAGGGTAAAAAAAGCGTGCTAGTCAAAGTATGTTTAAGGGAGTCTGGGAGAGGGTGGTGGGTTTTGAGAGACTATGGAAGAAAATCATTTGATGGGTTTCTCCTACAAAGGCAAGCCCCCACACATGGACAAAATCCCCGAGGTAAAGTAAGGCATATCTACAGGCATTCAGGGAACACGGCATCGAGCCTGTGAAGGGACACCATATTTCTTTTCCAATGTTACTGTTTTTCATAATAAATATTCATTTCTTTATGTACATAAGGTGTTAACTGGATTCAAAAACCGGTTTTTGGTCAGCCATTGGATGAGAACCCCAAAAGGAAACCGCACACACCTAGGAAAATACTCAAGTTCAAGACTGGAAATCCTTAGCTTGGTTCTCTTTTTATCGTCAATCCCGACACATCTCACCCTGACCACTCAGAGTCCTGTGGAATTCTTGTTCCTCTCCTTCCCCTAACTGCTCATCCCCTGTCTTCGCCAGGCTTACTTGACTGCGAACCTTACAAACTAAAACAAATCCAGGGGAAGAAACACACGGAGCCTCGGAAGCACACGGTTGCTCCTCTCCCCAACCCACCCCCCTTCCAGCAGCGCCTGCACTTCCTCGGGTGGCTGGGAAGCCCTCCATGGTTCAGAACTCTCTAGCGAGTCGCCCCAGCCAAAGCGGCTCCCCAGCACGTACTGACCCACCGTTCATGCCACTGTAGACACTCCGGTGATGGGGCGACACGTCCTCCGGCGCCTGCCTTCGGAGGGTACCCTCCCGACTGCCTCCACCGCTGCCTCCGCCTCCTCCGCCCATATGTTTGTGATCGGGGCTCCCCCCAAAATGTTGTTTGAGGTGCTCAGGGCTGGTGCCCCTGGCTCTGGGTAGATGCTCCAGGCTCCCACCGAGGGCGTGTTTCTGGAGATGCTCCGGGCTCCCTCCGCTGTGCCTGGCGTGTTCAGGGCTGCCCCCCGGCCTGTGCTTCTGAAAGTGTTCCGGGCTCCCGCTTAGCACGTGCTTGGGCAGCGTCTCGGGGCTGCTCCCAGGGTGCGGGTGCCTTTGCTGCTCGGGGCTGCCCTTGCACAAGGGTTTGTGGTGCTCAGGGCTGGGTCCTTTGAGTGCTTTTGGGTGATCCGGGGTCCCGGAGGCTCTGGGTTTCTGCAGGTGCTCGGGGCTGGTGCTCCGGTGCTTGGTGTGCTCCGGGCTGCCCTCGCCCCGGGGCTTCTGCAGGTGCTCTGGGCTGCCACTGCTCGCGTGCTGCTTGTGATGGTCGGGGCTGTCGGTGCTGCCCGTGCTGGACGTGCTGCTGCCGTCGCCCACGTCCCGCACGTAGGGCGCCGTGGAGGCGGCGAGCTGGCACAGGCTGGCCTGGCTGTCGATGGAGCAGCGGCTGCCCGCACAGCCTGCGCCCTTCTCCTCATCGAGCAGCACGCAGAGCTCCTTGAGCTCCATGTTCTCCTTCACCACCTCCTCCTGCTTCACCTCCAGCTCCTTCAGCTTCTGCAGGTATAAGGCCACTTCCTTGTGCATCACCCCAGCCGTGTAGCGGCCCAGTCTCTGCCACTCGCGGGACACCCTCTTGCCTTTCTGCCGGTCATCATCCAGGAAACAGCAGAGGTCCCTCAGCTCCTGGTTGTCCTCCTGGAGTTTCTGGTTGATATCCTGAAAAGAGAGAGAGAGAGAGAGACAACCATTCAAGGGAGGTACACAGGTGAGGCATCCTCAGGCTCAGACCTCCTGGGAGGGAGAATTGGTGAATTCTCTGTGATATTAGTGGAGGAGGTGAGAAGCTGAGAGGAAACTGAGGATTGTCATAAGAATAACAATAACGGGTATTGGTGATGCTCCCTGCCCAGGGCTTACCTGTATGATCTCATCGAATTCTCACAAAACACTTGGAGGATAATGATTTTCATGGTTCTTTGTGGGGGCGGGGGAGGACTGGACCTCACAAAGCTTCACTTGCCCAAGGCCATCCGGCCAGTGTCTAGGGAGCAGCCAGTTAATTCACAAGAAACCACTAAAAATCCAAGGATCCCCTGCCCCACTTTCCAGGAAGAAAATGGCTGCTTGGGACCTGAGAAATGCTTAAAAGCTCTGAGGCAACACGCCTTCCATCAGCACAAACATAAGCACTGCCTGGTGTTCGGCCCTTGACACGGGACTAACAGCCCAGTTCCCACAGGGGACCAGCACAATTGCCCTCTAGCGACATTTCTGACCCGCACATCTAAGCCCCACTGGCTGAACCCCCTGCACATCTCCCAGGCATCCCACACGAAAACTCAAGCAATGCCAAGCTCTTGTGGGATTTTCAAAGCCCTCTCCCCAAACTGGCCCCTCTCAGCAAATTCTGCCTCCACGCATCCTGCTGCCTTCCCTAAGAGCCTGGCTTATGCCTGGCGTCTCCTTCTCCCTCACCTTTCACTGCTGAACTAAACAGGTCTTCTGAACCCATTCCCATGCGTGGCAGCACCTCACTGCCCTTGGGATAAAGTGCAAAATCCGTCAAGTCTCCCAAGACCCCCAATCCTCTAACCTGGTCTATTTCTCCCACACGAGTGGTGCTCCACTCACTCATTCACAAGTATTTAGTAAGCATCTATTCTGTGCCGGGTACCAGTCCAGGTGCTAGGGATGTATCAGCGGACACAGCAAACACCTTGACATCCTACAGCTTTCATTCCAGCGGGAAAAACTGGCAAAAGGTCAGTAGAGAGCACAATGCCACGTCGCGAAAAGTGCTGGGAAGAAAACTAAAGTAGGCTAAAAAATACTATTTTTTAAGAGAAGGCACCTCACTGAGAAGGAAAACATTTGGGCAAAGACCCGGGTGAAATGAAGGAGTGAACATCTGAGGGAAGAGGATCCCAGGCAGACAGCAGGGCAAGTACTTGCCCTGAGACGAATATGCCTGACGTGGCAGCGCGGCCAGTGCGCCTGAAGCACAGTAAGGCCCCAGAGCTGAGCTGGGAGAGGGGGCAGGAGAGATGAGACCCAAGAGGTGGGAGTCGGGGCTGGGTGATGCTAGGCCTTGGCAGCCACATTTAGGACTCTGGATGGGTGGTGAGCTGAGGATAGAGTGGTGACACAATAGGTCCATTTATAAAGAATCACCATTGTTCTGTGTAGAAAACAGACCAGAGGAGGGGGGCGGGGGATAGAAGAAAGGGAGACGAGATAAGGTGGAAGCCAGGAGAGATCCGCGAGGAGGCCACCAGGCCAGGCCAGGTAGAGGGAGAGGGTAGCGGCGTGCGCAGATGGTAGCGGCGGAGAGGGCGGGACCTATCCCCCGACCCCCAGCTAAGCCCCACCACCACTGGCCTGGTTTCAGCGCCTAAGGAACAAGCCCTTTCTCTCTTTCACTTGGCACGCATTCCCTTAAACGTCTATACAACCTAAAGGCCTCACTTTATAAATCACTTCCCCAGAAGCCGTCCCTGACCAGTAGCCCCAATCTAAAGGAAGTTGCCTTATACACTCCACCAGTACTCCTTTTATTTCCCCTCTGTGGCACTCATTACAATCACATGTGGTTGAATGTGGCTATGAGAACTCACCAGACTCCGGTCCTGAGCATGGAGACCCCAGCTATTCCGTCCACCTCTGTGTGTCCAGAACACAGCACCCCCACGGTGGACACCTGAACCAAGGAACTTTGAAAACGCATCGTGAGGTTCCCCCTTTATTCTCCAGTCACACACAGAGTGAAGGGACTGTTTCTTGAAGCACCTTGGTTTGGTGGCGATGAACCAGGGGCGGTCATAGGGTTGCTATGGAAGATTTACCCTGCTTTCCGAAGCCAGAAAACCTCTCTGGTCTTGGGACTCGGTCATCCAACCCAGAACTAGAGGCACTCAGACGAGACTTGATCCCCGTTCACTCAGATTCATTCTAACACTTTGCCTGATGCTGGTGAGAAAATAAACTATAAGACACCTGCCAACCACAGCTCGCATCCCCTGACAGTCTTGAGGCCCAAGATGGGAGTCATCCTGAGGAAGAAGAGGATCTTGCGCAGCGTGGTTTTAACTCCAATGCTAACTCTTGGCATCCTGACTATTCTGTTTCCTTGTCTCTGATGCCCACTTCTTCCTCCTCGTTATCACTTTCAGACCTCAGGCCTGGCCATTTCCAAACCCCTCCCACCTGGGCCCCTGCCTTGGTCCGCCCCAACCTCTATCTTTCCTCACCCACCCAAGTCAAGCTCCCCGCGGCCAGACTTGATCTTCAAAATCACTCCCTGAATGTTCTGTCTCTCCTGCATCAACCGCACCTTCTCCCCTTTACCAGGAAGGTGAATAAACCCTTTGGCCAAGCCAGGAAGGCTTTCTCCTGCCTTTCCACCTTTAGCTCCCTCTTTGCCAGCTAATCACGAAACCTGACTGTATCTAGCTTCCCAATTAGAAAATCCCGTCCTCTTTCCTGTATGAACTTACCTAAGAGGAGAGATTCCTCTGAGAAGTCTCCCCTAGCGCTAGAACAGCTTCTGGCCTATGGCAGGGACAACCACAAATGAATGAATGAAGTAACTTTCCCACTCACCGCTTAATGCCTCTGAGATACACTAGCTGGAGCACTCATCTGGCATCATTTTTTTTTTTTTCTTTTCCAATGTAGGTATCTTAGCTTCTGGGGGCAGACTCAATTCTAGAGTCATCCTTTGCGTAGCTGACACACCCGGCATGGCACCTTGCCTACAGTAAGTAATATGTGTTTATGGACTGACCAATGCTTTAAAGCCCTAGGCCCGTGGCCAAAACAGGATACAGCTCTAGCTACTGAGGAAGGATTTCTTATTATTGTCTCAGGGAGCCCCTGTGAGGTTGGAGTCTATGTCATAAGAGAATAAATGATCTGTTGACATTGATGCTTTAAGGGAAATCAGAAGCTGTGGAGACTCTGAGAAAATAATACTAAAAAAAATTAATCTTTCTTTTTTTTTTAAAGATTTTATTTATTTATTTGAGAGAGAGAGAGAGAGAGAGAAACAGCATGAGAGGGGAGAAGGTCAGAGGGAGATGCAGGCTCCCCGCCGAGCCGGGAGCCCGATGTGGGACTCGATCCCAGGACTCTGGGATCATGACCTGAGCCGAAGGCAGTCGCTTAACCAACTGAGCCACCCAGGCGCCCAAAAAATTAATCTTTCTAAGCTTCAAAAATTATTCTACATCTAGTTTAATCCTGGCATTTTATAGAAAGTTCAAGTCATATTCTTCTCCATCTAAATGAACTTCCATCTGAAAACACTTCCTTTTGACTATCCCACAGCTATTCCTGATTTCTCCAGAACTGGGAAATAAATAGGAGCCGTGCTACCCCGGGGCCTCGTGGGGTTAATGCCTTTCCGAATGGAGTGAACCATATACTTCCCAGAATTCCAGTTGGGGTAGAAGGGGTAACAGCCTACTTAGCTTTCTTTATCACCATGCCTTCTTCCAAGAGTAAATAATATTCTTGGGTATACAATTCTGAGCGATTTCCTTTCCCGTCTGTGGAACAGCTAAGCAACCGATTGGATAATCATCACCTTATAAACCAGCTTCTTCCAATCCGCTACATTAAGATTTGGGCTTTCTTTTTCAAAACACAAACTGTCCTTTTAACATTGCCACTGGCCACCAGATGTTATCCATCTGTCTAAAGGGGACTTTTAAAAGATTCAATCCACCTCATAGCATACCACTCAAATTTTCATCCGTAAGATTCTCAAGTACTCTATCTGTGGTTAAAGAATTGTTCTAATTTGTAATTTTTCTTCACTGCAGGGAGGGGGATTGGTGTGTTGGGGAACAGAGAGGAACATTAATGTGATGCATAACAAATCTACAGATCCGGGTTCCCCCAAATCTGCCCCCTTGTCCCCTGAAATCCCAGGTCGGAGCAACCTGAGCATTGGTATATGCTCAGCAGTGCACAGACATGGTTCTCAGAACCCAACTCCTTATAACATCAGAACCAGAATCCCCTTTCTGCACCCTTGCAGAATCACACATTCTAAGCAGAGCATGTCAACTAGCTGAAAGAAAAGAAAGCCAGCCTATTTTAAACATTGTATATCTGTGTGACATTGAGAAAGCTATTTAACATCATCTATGGATCATTTAATCTTCACCAAACGTCTTACAGAATTCGCATGGCCATTTAGCAGATGAGAACGGCTGAGGCTCAGAGAGGTGACCAGCTTGCCCACACTGCCCAAACTGTCAGGCTCCAAACCCTTTCTCTCTCGGCTGTCCCGCACTGCTCCACCTCTGAAACGTTTAAACGTAGACAAGTCAGCCTGTGCTGGGACCCAGGCACAGGCGCCTCCACGGAAAGACCTAGCGCTCCCATCCCCCATCTCTACAGCTGCAGTACCACCTCGTCGCCTTGAAAAGATTTCTTGCCGTTTCAAAAGCAGATCACAGAAAGGAACATAAAACAAGAGAAGTGTTGTGGCCTTCATTACGCTAAATGTACAGTCTTCAACTGGAAGTCCCAAAACATCAGAGCTGAAAACAAAACCCCAAATCCTCCTTCTAGTTAGGCCAAACTAAGTAAGTGCACATATCGTTTACTCAGTCAACCACATTAATGGATCAGGGGGGTGTCCAGGGATGTTCTGGCTAAGATGATGGATAGAAGGGGGAACACTGGCCGCTCAGCAGGGCTTCGCCACAACCCCTCAGGGGTGGGCCAGAGGCCTTGGAGGCTACCATGTTGTAACTGGCCAGGGATGACAAAAAGGAGGAGTAGAGGCTGCGTCAGAAAGTATCCAGCCCCACCGTTCTGAACTTGGTAAGGAGGTGGACAGGAAAGTCTTTTTAAGCCAGGTCATGAATCTAGACCCCCAGGAGATTTTCCTACTTGGGGTGAAACTGCCCTTAGCTGACCTAATAGGTATTTCTCTAAATGAAGCTACTAGAAAGAAGACCAGGCTCCCCCACCTAGCTCCCCTCCCCCACATAGCTCCCCTCAACACACACACACACACACACCACACAACCCAAGGGAACCTTCAAGTATTTCTGAACTATTATGTCAATGCCCCATACTATTAAAATCCTTAGGAAATTGATTAATTACTTAATTGAAAACTCTTCCAAGTTACCTTACAGTTCAAACCATGGAAGAAGATTAAATTGGAGGGTTATGAACTATACCTTTGTCCAGCTTTGCCTAAGAAACCCAATCCTGGAGGTGTAGGCCTATACATTTACACGCCCTCTCCTGATGACAATCTCTACCACTGTTTTGTAATCAAGTCCAGCATTAAAGCTTCTCCTACCTGATCCTAATGTCTTGTTGCAACCCCCTAGGAGATGGTTGTTATCATTTGCATTTTATTGATGAGTAAAATGAGGTCCTGATAAATTAATTACCCAAGCTCACCCTCCTTGGCAAATGAGGATTCTAGATGCAGACCCACCTCTGAGATGATCTTCTCACTACACTAGCCTATGTCTAATGCCCCAAGAGTCTGGTACTTAATAAATACTCCACTGGTAATGAATTAAACCAAAGGAGAGTGGCAGTCTTGGGATTCTTCTGACTGTGGGATCTTTCTAACTGCACCCACTCTAGGAAGTAGATGACAAGTGCGTTGGGGCCCCGGGGAAGGCCGGCTCCACCTGCACTGGACCCAGCACCCAGGTGAGCATCTCTTTGCCCCAGAATCCCAGAGCTGGAGGCTGAGGCAATTAAGAAAGTGTCTACAGCCTGGAGAATTGAGGTGAGAGTGGAAGGGGACAAGAACAGCATGTGCCTGCAGGAATTTGCTCCCTGATGTCCCTGCAGTGTTTTCGTGCGTGTCTGGCTTCCTATAAACAAAAGCAGAACAATGAGAGGAAGGAATACCAGCAGGCCCCAGCACAAGCAGCGAGGAGAGGAAGCTGGCGGTGCTGTGCGCGCTGGCAGGGCGGATCCCGGCCCGTCTCCTACAGCCCCGCTAGCAGGCCCACGGGTCTCACACTCAGAGCTCTCCAAGGAGAAAAGAAGTTGATGGGGCTTTGGCTTTCTTCTTTTCTTTCTTTTTAATTTTTTTTTCTTTTTTCTAATAGCAAAGAGGGAAGGCTGGTTCATAAAGCAAAGCATCAGTGGCCGACACTTGGGGTGGTGCCTTCAAATCCCCTCCACCGCCTCAATGCTAGATGAAATTATAATCAAATTGGGGGTGAAGGGGAAAGGGGGTCAAGGAACCCCAAATGACGCCATCTGAACTGGAGAGAAGGAAAGCGCAGGAGCAGGTAGAAAATGTGAAGGCAGAGCTTAAGCTCCTCTGCACTGGGTGACATACACCAGCTGCGAAGGTGGCGCCCGCGACTTCTCCCTGGGCACCCCGCCAGCCCTTCTCCCCAGCATTGGCGCCCTTTCCTCATCCGCCGGGGAAGTCGTGGCTCCGGAGCACCGGTATCCACGATCCCTAAGGATGAAGATGTCCTGGACTCGCTCCCTCGATCACCCTTTCCCCTACCTGTGACCCGGCTCCCCAAACCACCGATTCTCCAGGCTTCCTAGGAAAATAAAGGTTCTGCATGCCCATCACCTCCCTCCCTACTTTTCAGCATCCTCGGCGCCCTCCCCTCCGGCCACAGAAGATCCCAAGTGATAGCTCCACACTGGCTCTCCCCAAACAGGGAAGAGGAGACCAATCACTTCCAAAGTTCGGAAAAGTTTCCAAAGGGCTGGGGATGGGGAGCAGGGGGTGCTGACCGGGAGAAAGGGGAGGATCACCTGTTGCCCGAGGGAGGGAAAGTTTGCCCCGCCCCACCACCCCGGAGCGCCCCGCTCCCCGCCCGACCCCGCGCTCACCTTGAGCCCGCGGATCTCGCCGAGGTGCAGCTGCAGGCGGCGATTCACCTCGCGGATGAGGTTGCTATGGTCCAGCATCGCGCTCACCTTCTCGGCCTCGGCGCGCCGCAGGCTGCGGATCAGCTCCTCCTTGCTCCACTGCAGCAGCTCCTCGTCCGACACTTTGGACAGGTCCTCCGCGGTGGCGGCGGCGGGCGGGCCGGCAGAGGCTGAGGGACAACTTTCCGCCGCCGCCGCCGTACCTCCGGCCGCCTTCGACATGGTATCCGCGCGGTGGCAGGTGCGAGTGGGTGGAAGAAGCAAAGCGACTCCCGAAGGCGCGGGCGCGGCGGGGCCGCCTCCGCCCACACCCCTGTGCGCTCCGGCGAGTCAGCTGCACTGCCCGGCGGCCGCTGGGTTGGGGCGGCAAGGGTCGCGCTGGGCGGCCATCCTACCTCGCCATCCCCGCGCGCGCGCCCGCGCACCCCCAGGGCCGGGCAGTCACCCGCGCGCTGCTGCCGAGGCGCGTCCCAACTCGGCGCACGTCCATGGTGAGGGGCGCCGGGGAGCTGGCGCCGCCGCGGGAAAACCTCGGGGAGCGGCGGGGGCGCCCGGGGGCCGCGCCCGGGTTCCCCTGGCCTCTCCTCCGCTCCGATTCGAGACCATCGCCCACCACACTCTCGCACACACGCACACACGCGCGCGCACTTTCCTCCCCCTCGCCGAGCTGCAGCCCCGGCCTCACTGCGCTCCTAGGCGAGCTAGGGCGCGCCGGCTCCGCGGCGCCTCCGGGGTTGCTCGAGCGCCGCCGCCGCTGCTGCCCGAGTGCTCGGCGCGGCCCGCCGGCTGCGCTCCTCCCGCCGCCTTCGGGGCGCCCGCTGCCGCTCCTAGGCTGCTCGGGGAAGCCCGCGATTTGCAGAGCCGAGCCGAGCCGAGGAGGGGTGGAGGGTGGAGGGGTAAAGGCTGGACCGGCAGGAGGTGGAGCCTGCAGCCGGGGCCGTCCGCAGCCGGCCGCACCTCCCGCGCGGACCGGACGCAACTGCAGCTAGATCGCCTCCCGGGCTCCCGAGGCGCGCTCCCCGCTATCCCGCCGGGGAAGGCCGGGGGCGCGGCTCTTCCAGCGCCCGGGCGCGGGTGGGGCGGGATGCGGGAGAAGCGTGAGAAGCTGTGCGGCCCGGGCTCTCGCAGGCTCGCGCGCGCCACCATGTGGCGGAAAGAGCTCCCTCCTCCGCCCCCTGCGCGCCAGGCTTGTCACCTTGCGGGGCAAACAAGGGGCGACCAAAATGAGAGACGCTTGGTATTTGCAGGGATTAGCGGTCAGGGGAGATGATGATGATAGATAGATAGATAGATAGATAGATAGATAGATAGATAGATAGATAGATAGAT